ATCAAACAAAGAAAAAAGACGACTGAACACGCGCACAAAACCCGAATAAAAATGTAAACAAAAATAAAACCAAAGAAAAAACAAACCGACAGAAAAAAGAAGCCCTGCCACTTCCCTGCCCTCCCCTCCCCAACACCACTCCACCCCCAACACCCAGCCCTTAGGAGCAAGAGGAAGGCCTAAGCAGGCTCTGGCTATGACGTCAGTTCGCTCGCACGCACGCACACGCGCACGCACGCACACACACGCATGCAGGCACTCATGTACGCACGCACGTTTGAAGCCCAACAAAGGCTGCCAACCTGTCCTTATGCAAGCACAAAACATGAGGAAAAAAAGAAATGTGAGAGAATGAGGAGGAGATGGAGGATTAGAAAAAGAAGGAGAAAGGAGGAGGAGGAGGAGGAAGAGAAAAAGGAGAAATGAGGAGGGCGAGAAGGAGAAGGAGGTGGAGAAAAAGGACTAGGACGACGAAGAGGAGGGAGAGGAGGAGGAGATGGAAGAGGAGTAGAAGGTGAAGGACGAGAAGGACTAGGAGGAAGAAGAGAAGAGAAGAAGCAGGAAGGAGGAAGAGCACGAAGGAGGAGGAGGAGGAGCACAAAGGAGGAGGAGGAAGAGGACAAGGAGAAAGAGGACGAGAAGAAAAAAGAGGAGGAAAAGGATATGAGGAGGACGAGGAGGAGGCGGTGAAGAGAGGAGAAAGGGTGTAAGGAGGGAAAGGATGTAGAGGATGTGAGGAGAGAGAGGATAGAGGAGGAAGTAAGGAGGAGAAAGGGATATTGAGGAGGAGGGAGGGAAGAGGATGGAGAGAGAGGAGGAGGAAGGAGGAGGGTGGAGGAAGAGGGAGGCAGAGGAATAGGAGGAGCAGGAGGAGGAGGAGGAGGAGGTGGATGACAAAGGAGAGAGGAGAGAGGAGAAATGAGAGTGAAGGGAGAGGAGAAGGAAAAGGAGGAAGAAAAAAGAGGAGGAGGAAGAAAAAAGGAAAGGAGGAGGGAGGAGAGGAGTGGGGAAGAGGAAGGAAGAAGAAAAGGAAGGAGGAAGGGAAGAAGAAAAGGAAGAAGGAAGGGAAGAAGAAAAAAAAAGGGGGGAAGAAAAGGGAGGGAGGGGAAGAAAAAAGGAGAGAAGAAAAGAGGTAGAGGAGGTAAGAAAGGAAAAAAGAGGAAAAGAAAGGAGGACGAAAAAAGAGGAGGGAAGAAGAAAGGGAGGAGGAAGAGAGGAGAGAGGAAGAAAAGGAAGGAGGAGGAAGAAGAAAAGGAGGAGGAGGAAGAAGAAGAAAAGGAGGAGGAGGAAGAAGAAAACGAGAGGAGAAGAAAAAGGAGGAGGAGGAGGAGCTCCCTTCTCTCTCTTTTACCCTACCCCCTCTCTCTCTTTCCCTCCCCCCTCTCTCTCCCCCTCCCCTCTCTCCTTTCCCCCTCCCTCTCTCTCTTTCCCTTCCCCCCCCCTCTCTCTTTCCTTCCCCCTCTCTCTCTCTTTCCCTCCCCCTCTCTCTCGCTTTCCCTCCCCCCTCTCTCTCTTTCCCTCCCCCCCTCTCTCTCTCTTTCCCTCCTCCCCCTTCTCTTTCTTTCCCTATCCCCCCTCTCTCTTTTCCCTACCCCCTCTCTTTCTCCATTCTTTTTCCCTACCCCGTTTCTCTCTCTCTTTCCCTCCCCCCTCTCCCTCTCCCTCTCTCCCATCCTTTTGAGGTGTAAATTTTACTTTTGTCTCAATAAACGTCAATGTCAAAGTAAAAAAGTCTCTCTCTCTCTCTCTCTCTCTCTCTCTCATTCCCTACCCCCCTTTCTCTCTCTCTCTTTCCCTACTCCCCTCTCCCTCCCTTTCTCTTTCCTTCTCTCTCTATTTTCCTGCCCCCCCTCTCTCTCCATCCCTCCCTTCCCCCCCTTCCTTCCTTCCATTCCTTCCTTCCTTCCTTCCTTCCTTCCTCCTTCCTTCTTCCTTCTTCCTTCCTTCCCTTCCTTCCTTCCTTCCTCCCTCCCCTCCCTCCCTCCCCCTCCCCTCCCCTCCCTCCCTCCCTCCCTCCCCCTCTCCCTCCCTCTCCCTCTCTCTCCCATCCTTTTGAGGTGTAATTTTACTTTTGTCTCAATAAACGTGTCAATGTCAAAGTAAAAAAAAAAGTCTCTCTCTCTCTCTTCTCTCTCTCTCTCTCTCTCTCTCTCTCTCTCTCTCTCTCTCTCTCTCTTCAGAAAAATACACAACACAGCACTTTAGAGTAATCTGTACATGCAGAAAGATGATGCACAAAGATGAAACACAAACGAATAAAATTACGAATATCCCCTAAAAGAAAACACCCATATACTCATAAACGGTATGTCTTTGGTTTCGCAAAGCCTAATTATTAATTTACTATGTCCCTAACCAATAACCTACCAACCCCCCGATCCGACCGCTTTTTCTCTCTATTGGATGCTCTGAACCCGGACTCCTGAAACTGAAACTGAAATTATACCTCATAAAATGCCTACATTTTGTTCGGCCAATTTACCACCGAACTGTAATTATT